GAAAAAAAAAAAAAAAAAAAAAAAAAAAAAAAAAAAAAAAAAAAAGAAAGACTGCGATAAAGTGAGCCGGTACCTTCCACACGTGCGGATGGACTGGTCACCGGACAAGCTTGAGTTCTTCGTGAATGGGGAGCGCACCTGGTTCCTCGACCGCAGCCCCGGCTCGACCAACTACGACTGGCCCTACGCCAAGCCCCACTTTGCGCTCCTCAACCTCGCCATCGGCGGGAACGGCGTCGGGTACGCCACGCCGCCCGACGACGCCTACCCACTCACCTACTCGATCGACTATGTCTCGATCGTGGCGCTGCCGCCCCCGCCGCCCTCTCCACCTCTTCCGCCGTGGTTCAAGTGCGGCACGGCCGCGTGCACGCCAGGGGTGTGGGCGGCGGCGGCGGCGAATAGCGAGTGCACGACGTGCTCGTGCGGCGATCGGATCGAGTGGCTGCAGACGTCGCCGGATGGACCAAAGATGGACGAGGCCGCGGCCTGTGCGCAGGTGGCGGGTGTCGAGTTTTCAGAGGCCTGCGGCGGCTGCGATCCGGCCTCCGCCGCCCCCTCGCCAACGCCGTCGCCCTCTGGCCCTGGCAGCGGCGGCGGCGTTGGAGCCCGAGGCGTCAAGTGCGCCATCGCGGCTGAATATGGTCGAGGCAGCAACAACGCGCAGGCAGCCATCGAAGCCGGGCTCCTGACGGCCGCCGACCTCAACGGCCTCAACGACTGGACCGACTCGGGCCTCATGCTCAAGCAGTGGGACGACTCTTCGGCGCTGTGCCCGCCCCCGGCCGGAAGCGTCAACGGCCGGAGCCGGTTTTCACTTTTCAACGAGCCTCCGCGCGACTCTGGGGCGGCGGCGGCCGCCACCTGGAAGGTGTACCAGGCACGATGCGCCTCGGAGCTCGCGGGGTACGAGATCGTGGGCCCCGCCGTCCACAACGGCCTCGACTGGATGCGCGACTTTTACAGCGCCTTCTTCGCCGCGTGTCCAGAGTGCCAGGAGCCGGCCAGCCCGCTCTACGTGACGTACATAGCCTTTCATGCCTACGCAACCGCCTCCGACACCGCTGGCGTGGTTGGGTCGATGGTGTGGACGCACGATGCGGCGTGCACGCTACAGGCGGAAGCGTGGGCACTCGGCCGGCCTGTGCTGCTCACGGAGTTCGGCGCGCAGCTCGACGTGCGAGGCGGCGTGGAGCAGTGGCTCACGGCCATGGACACCATCTTCGATCCGCCTACACAGGTGTCGTCCGTTTGCATCGAGGAGGCGTACTACTTTGC